TATACTAAAGTGATTGTTATCACGCGGCGGCATTATGTAAATGCATAAGAGGGCTTTAAGATACAAGCTGTTCTAATCGCACAAATAAAAATTGATAACCACATTTTATAGTTGTATCTGCCATAATTCCTAGCCCAATAATAAGATTTAGTTGAAATTAGGAAGTTTATGTCTACGCGGCATTAATTTCTTAGCTGAGCGCAGACACTTCGAAGCAAAGATAAAGCATTCAGCAGACGCATCCACGTCAACTGTTACCGAAACGTATATACACGGAAACATGGATGTAAACCGAATTCATAACGTGCATGATAAACACACAGATGAGTTGAACACTAACATTCTTTGCACTAACACATATTACGCTATAGAAATTCAAAGAGAATAAGTTGCTGAAACTCAGTTTGTGTTGAGTAGTTAAAGACGCCACATCAAAATTAAGATGGTGCACGTCATTGAATAATTATTATAGACAAATATGATAATCTTCAGTGCCGTCACCAATCTTGCGTTTAACAAATAATAATAAACAACAATTTAATCTAAACATAAATAATTAAGTTTATATGAGTATGTAATTAGCATATACACTGACTATTGTAAAAGTATCAAGGAAGTTTGAAGAGGTAGAAGAAAGCATGAATGTGCTTCGCTGTGTTCCGTCTCAGCTAGGCTGACAGCGCGACGTCAGTGTATCGGTTAATTAGGCGAAGTGCAATGTCGGCACGAGAATCTTCGACAACGGTTTTCTACGAGCAGGCAAAATGTGGGTTAACATAGGATCCTAGCGTCACAAGTAAATAAAATAACAGTGGTACATTTTAAGCTCCGTTGGTCGAAGAATCCAGGTTGAGAGTTTATCTTGTTTAGTGGATCAAGAATTTATCTGGTGTGCCGGTGAGGTCAACTGACTGACTCGTGCGCCTATGCGGCGGCTACGGGGCGTTAGTAGCTAGCGTGACAGTGACGTACGTACGCGCGTTGCAGCCCGTTTACTATAGTAGCATAAGTCCACTCGACATTGGTTTTTGCTCTGTTTATTCTGCTATATTAGGGCAACGGTGATTATATCAAAAAACTGATGACAGTGGACAAACAATATCGGTGAAGTAATTCAGAATGCGATTTGTGTAGCGGTTGATGTAGATCTCTGGCATTAAAAAACTTACTGCGAAATGAGGCTGTAACCGTCGCGAATAGGTAAAGAATTTGTGAGGGACTTTGTGGAGTTAGCGTGTGTCGTTCGGCCGCATGACCGTATACGCGCGCGCACACGCATCGGCCGTACGCGCGTGCACACGCATTACCTGTATCGCGCGCACACGCCATCGAACGCGTAGCGCGGGCGCTACACAGCATGACGCGTATACGGCGCCGCACCAACGCATGACCGTACGGCGCGCCACCGACTGCTATGACCCGTACGCGGCGCACGAGCCAGACCGTACGCCAGCAGCACACCATGACGGCGATACGCGCGCACACGCATGACCGATATACGCGCGCCACCACGCATGACGTACGCGCGCCACCACGCATGAGCCGTATACGCGCGCCGAACGCACTGACCGTACGCCGCAGCACATAGATTGAACGCAGTGACCGTACGCGCGCACACGCAATGACCGACGCCGCAACACCGCATGACCGTATACGCGCGCACACGCATACGGCGTACGCAGCGACCAGCCATGACTACACGCGCACACGCGATGACGAGGCGTACGCGGGCGCACACCGCATGACCGTACTCGCCACCACTGCCAATGACGGTATACCGCGCCACAACGGCATACCGTATACGCGCGGCAGCGAGGGCGCGACCGTACGCGCGCACTTACGCATGACCGTATACGTCGCGCACACGCATGACGCGTACGCGCGCACAAATGCACGAGCGCGCGTACGACCACACAAACACGCGGTGCGCGCGCTTAACAAACCACCGCCCTAGTTCGTCGTGCCATACAATGGCACTCCTACAAGTATCATGATATCCATCGCGGCTAAACTTTCACATGAACCAAATCTCAGATCGGATCAGGACATACTGCCTTTCACCCAAAATATATCGCATCTAAGTATTGTCAGATACTGACCCACTGATGATGGTCCATTCATCATAGGCAGCGACTGTTGCTCAAACACAACGACACACAACACAACCACAAGGCCCCATACAGCACACACGCGCAAGCGCAGCAAACGGCACGGCACGCAACAGCCACACTACATAACACACCACACAGCATTTGACACAGGCCACAGCACACAACCAACACAGCACACCACACATGCCCCCAACACACACACACCCCAGCCGCCAGGCCTATCATCGCGGCGCCGACTGAACATTGAATGGAAAGTGAGAAGTGTTTTGAGAATGGCGAGTCCGTGCGCCACGCCAAGGTACACACAAGTGGGGTCACAAACTATCTTTGCCAGCATCCGCACGGAACCGCGTCGAACAAAATCCTGCTTTGGACGTATAAAACGGCGCCATCGGTCCCTGCAAGAACATTCAGTAGTGACGCTCGTCCCGTTGCCATAGCATCTCACATCACCGATAAGATCGTGCTCCTTATAAGGTAGACTATCATGTTGTCCATCCGTGCATTAACCTTCCAATAGAGAATAACTTTTGATACCAACATGACATCGTTATAAACGTACCAGGAGCGTCTATGGGTTCGTTGATATCGTTTGTAAAATTGTCTTTAGTAATGCAATTATTCTTTGTAATGCATTTATACAATCGGTGTTGTAATTGTAAATAGTGGGTGTGCAGTTGTTACCTGCGAGACCACACAGAGAGAAGATTGAGGGGTTGAAGAAGAAAGAGAGCCGAGAGAGAGAGAGAGAAGAAAGAGAGAGAAAGAGAGAGAAGAGAGAGCGAAGAAGAGAGAAAGAGCGAGAGAGAGCGAGAGAAGATGAGAGAGAGAGAGAGAGGGGGGGAAGGGACCGGTGAGAGTGGTGCGACTGCCGATCCGTGGAATAATTATTGTTTGACTAGTTCGAAGTGCAAAACATCATACGGCTGTAATGGATTATCTCGCATAATATAAGACTTAAGTGTTATAGTCGGTAAGTAGTTTATCAAAGTATTGATCGATATCTATTTAAATAGGGCTAGGTACATCACTTTAATATCGTACATTGTATAGTTCTTACTCACCGCCTTGATCCTGGCAGCGCAACCGCGAATTCTCACGTATGGCGATAGTAACTAACAAGGCTCGATCATCTTGGAATAATATATTAATTAGTAATATTATTGATAATAATTAATTTTACCAGTTTGCGATGCTATCATGTGACTTTTCGTCATATCGTGCGTTTGCGCGTTTTAACGCATAAATCTTTCTCTTCTGATTGCAAAAAATGAGGTTAGTATTTGTGTTTCAGGGGCGTACACAAGTTTTGAGAATGGATTTCTAAACTTAGGCAGTGATTGCGCTTACTCTTGTAGCAACGTAATGCGCCTCTATTTCCATACGCATTGTAATTACTTGTTTTGTGCTTGCGCTTTATATTATTTACAGCGAAATTAAGAATGATAAACAAACTAGGTCAGATGCACGGACGAAGAGAGACGTGAATAAATCAATCACTGTTATTCGAACATGCTGAATATGATTGAAATAGTGATCGCGTTTAAGATTGGTAGTAACGAACAACGTTCACACTACTAAAAGCAAGGTTCAGCCGTCTCCCCCTTCTTCCACCTCTTTGGCAGGTACTCCTCACTTGAGCGCTACTCGCTTCACGTCACACGTACTCTCTCTCTGCTCTCTCCTCTCGCTCTACTGCTCTCTCATCTCTGCTCTTATCTACTCGTCTCTCTCTGTCTCTCTCTCGCTCCTCTCCTCTCTCACCCTCTCATCTCTCTCTCTCTCTACTCTCTCTCTCTCTCTCTCTCGCGTCGCTCTCTCTCTCACCTCCCTCTCTCTCTTCACTCTCTCTCCCTCTCTCTCTCTTGTCCATCTCTCTCCTCTCTCCTCTTCTCCTCCTCTCCTCTCATCTCTCATTCTCTCTCCCTCTCTCCTCGTCAAGTCTCATCATCTCACCTCTCTCATCTGCTTCTCTCCTCTCTCTCGTCTCTCTCTCTCTGTGTGTGTGTTGGTGTGTGTGTGTGTGGAGAGGCGTGTTGCGTGTGCGTGGGCGTGTGCGGCGCTGTGCGCGTGTGCGTGCGCGTA